CCAGCTTTTTGTGCAGCTCCTCTCTTGGCATGGCATAAGACACTCAAAAGTCCCTGACTTTTGGTAAGTGCTGCTCAGCAACAGCCAAAATATCAATATGTTATTGTGCTGGTTTGGGCTGGGATAGAATTAATTTTCTTCACAGTAGCTGGTATGGGGCTGTGTTTTGGGTTTGTGCTGAACACAGTGATGTATTACCATCAAACAGAAATGTTTTTGTTATTGCTGAGCAGTGCTGTTGGGTCCCGAGACAGCAGTCCTGAGCTGCCTGCTCTGGGATAGCCACAAAATTTCAGGTCCCAAGAGGGCAGTCTCGGACTGCGTGCTCTGAGGTAGATGTATTTGGGATACGTCCTTGGGCTAAATTAAGGCAAAACAATGCCAATCAATCAATTAGAAAGTTTTATTTATGGCAGCAATGATGGCAGCACTAATTTTTCTTTCCAGTCTGTTGCTCATCCTGAAAAGTGCTGAATGTTCAGAATGCAATTGCATGAAGACTGTACATACTTCTTCAGAAGGAAATGTATCTGTGATTCCAGTTATGATATGAAACTATTTGAGCTAAAATGCATTGTAGGGTCAGAGCTACGGTTGGGTTTGGTGCATCCATACAGCGGATGTCAGAGATGGGTTATTCTGAGTCTACAGTGCACGTATCATATCCCTGCCCAGAGGGTTTCATGAGCATGAATAACTTGTGAGAAAAATTCTGATGGAGAAGTATGGGAGCCGTCATCATTCCAGCAGTGGACAACTATACAAATAACAGAGTAGGCAGAAAGTTAACATTGTATATATTACTCACTTTGTTGTCTGCTGAAATGTTTTGTTGTGCTTACACTTTGTGCCATCTGTGTTTCAGATGTTGATAAATTTGAGTTTGGAACAGGCTTAGACATCATTTTCACTTGGTATTGAGGGAGAGAACCATGATTGTTCCTAGTAAAGTGCCCTGAAAGCTCCAGTTGGTAAATGGTTTTTATGTGACCCTCACATACAGATCATTAGCTTTTTTCCAAGTTGAAACTAGTTTCAATTTCTTGAGAGGCTGAGACTTTCTGAAATAATTTTGTGTACTCGATATTTAAAATCAAACCAGCATCAGACAAAAAGAAAACAATGCTAAAACAAAATACAAATGCAGGGGATTTGCCCAGGTATTGCAGTCTTTGACCCAAGTGCTAAGCAGGCAGATTTCATCAGCTTACACATTGTCAGGCTTCTTAACACCTAGTTTATAGCCTGAGGAGTCAGGCTGTTCTGGGCAGAGGGTGTAAATAGTCTATTGATAACAGTTTCTGGGAAATGGCATGGAAGGCTATAGAATACACAGTTTTGGGTTATACCCATGCAGTGATGAACTGGTCCCAGCTGTTCTAACTAGGACACATCCATTTAATAGAGTTTATGAGTTTACATTCCGACTGCAAGGAACATGTTTTCACATCTGAAGCAGGGGATGGGAAACCATAGACTCACTGTGAACACTGAATGATTTCCAGAGCCTCTCTATAGCATTTCATTCAAATCCGGTAATTTTTGGTTGAAGAATCACGGTGCTCCTCCATTACTCTGGAAAGGGGATCCTGGTCCACGTGAAGATTTTTTGAAGATCCAGCAGATCCTCTTTCAAGTTCAACAGTAGCTGCTGAAAAAAACTGACAAGATTCCTGGTGTTTCTTTTACAGCAGACAGGGCAAAATAAGGCAAGGACATGACAGGCAACACGAGAGACTGCAATCCAGACAGAGACTTTAAAATTTCCAAGGGAACATAACAACAGAAGGGCTAGGTGCAAAGGAAGAAACCCATTTTTTCCACAATTGCTTATCTGTCAACAGCATTTCTAAAGCAAGTGGAAGACATTCCGGGGGCTACACACTGAACACCTTCAGGCAACCCACAAATGACTCCTGTGCTAAACTTAGACCCCTGAAGATATCTTCAAACTAAATTGATCTCATATTTGCCTGAACAGTACTGAATAATCTTTTCCTAAAAAAAAGTTAGCTTTTGTTACTGATCTTCTTGCTTATTCCAAAAAGACTGCACCACCTAAGCTATCAAGACAAGCCATGAATCATAGAATCATAGCAAAAATGAAGAACCAACAGCAGAGAACGGGTATGGTACAGTTTAGTGCTGAATGCCATCGGTGTACATGGGAGGGGAAGTGATGGCTGAGGCTTATACTTATCTCTTGGCTGCTTTGCTGTTTGTGCTTGAGATGAACTCTAGTGAAGGGCAACTTCAGCTTAAGCCAAGGGTTTCTTTGCACTTGGTTTTTTCCAGGCAAGTGCATAACATTGTACGCAACATTTTGGTAAGCAGGAAGTTTTCACATTCAAGTCTCAACTGGAAGGCTAGCAGAAAAAAACCCAAAAACCTACTTATTACAGAAACTTGAAAATAAAGGCTGGATCACTAGACGGGAGCACTTAATTACATCATTAATTGAAGAATGGGGGAAATATAATAAATAGTTATTCATCAACTTCCTTTGGAGTACGCTCAAGGCTGTTCTGTGCTCCCTGCCCCTCCTGGTCTTCTCCTTTTCTCCCTTTTGCATTGGGTCCCTGAAGTTTGCTTCCTTTCTAGTGCTTCCTGCAGAATAGTCCCTGCAGATGGTACAACACTAATTACCTCACGAGTTCTTTCCGTAATGCCTGTCCATGCCTCTGCCCTCAAAAACGTGTTCACAGCGGTACAGAAAAGTTCCCATCTGTAACTGCCGCTGCTATGCATTACCTACACTGCTTGGCCCCTTTTCATCTCCTTGGTGTTTTTGTCTTCAACCAGGTGCTGTATGTAGACACCTTGTTGAAATGGGTTCTTTCCAATGGAGGTGAGGGGACCAGTGAACTGAGATGGACTTCAAAGTGAACAAATGCTTCTCACATTCATCCAACAACTAAACACACTAACTCAACAGAGAAGCTTGGCCATGCCTCAGTCCCATGCTACGTGGCTGTCCCACTGATTACAACTACTGGTGTGTGGTTTCCACGTCTCCTGGTATAATGCTCTGCACTCTGGAAGGGATGTGCTATCACACTGACTGCTGATTACAGGGCACACTTGGACCAGTGCTATTGCAGAGGTTGCAGCATTGCTGCACAATTAGAAGGCCGTGAAGACTTCCCAAGGAGTAGGGAGTTCTGCTGTTTCATGCAGTAAGATGTAGCAGGAACTACAGGAACAAATGCCTCCTATCCATAGTAACATATTAAAGCAAGGTCCAGTGAAGAAACTGCTAGAACAAAGATCAATGATGAAGAAAATGGGGTCTCACAGATGTCTGTGAGACTCATGTCTGAGACTAACTCATGGTGACATTAGCCACTTGAAATAGGTCACACATACCATACATGTAAAATTAGTGTAGAACTTAGGTGGGGGGTTGGTGCCCCACAGTGCTCTTTACCACAGTTTGTCTTGAAAAAGAAGGTAGTTACACAGTTCATTGCTTCGATTTAAATATTTTTTGGCCTTTGACGACTCTGGCAAATTTGTACAAACCTGATGACTGTAGGAGGTCAATAACTAATTGATCCCAGGTTTGGGGGTGAAAACTGGAATCTTTATTGAACACGCATCTCACAATTTAAGGGTCTCGGGGGCAGGACATGTTAATGAGGAGGATGGATTATGCTAAGTTGGGGATGGATTATGCTAACTAGAGGATTACACAATTTTCTGCTACAGTCACACAATTGTTTAATATTCTTGTAACAAGGATTACATAGGGGGGAGAGAACAAAGGGGTTTCTACGTAGTCTGATTTCATCATCACAAAGTCTTTCCATATCTTGCTGCAGGAGCCAGGCCGATCAACATAGTTAAATATCAGTAGGTCTTGTGAAGAAGCATGCGATCCTCAGGTGGTGGGATTTCTTTCAGCCCCTGTTGGTCCATGGCCTGCTACATAATCCTTTTGTGCTGATATCCGAGTTTCAAATTGCTACAGATGACCTAAAGTCTTTGGCTTTACCACAGATGTCTGGGTGGTGTTCTGAGACCCAGACTTCTGTTCAGTCCCAAACTGTTGCCAAGATATCCCAGGCCAGCTGGATCCAGAAGTGGACTTGCAGCCAGATGTCCGCTGACAGCGCTGCTTGTGACTGCAGATTTGCTTCTATGGCGCTCCCAAAGGAGCTTGGTCTCAGCCTCTGCAAGTCTCTCATCAGCTCTGAAACATTTAGAAGCACACAGAGAGTCATCTTTGGCAGTAAGGCTTTTGCAAAGTTACCCTCCATGTCCTTGACTACTACTCGACTTCTAAAAGCCAGGGGCATTAAGAGAGTCCAAAACAAGCACATCCTTTGATCTGAGCTTGTTCAGAGGGCCTGTTTCTAAGAAATCACACTAAGTGCAAGGAGCAGCGTCACCTCCATAAGAACTCTGGCCTATCCTGGCCTTCTCAAGGAAAGCTCAAACCTCAGACCTGCTGCCAAAACAGAAGCCAAGAAAGAGCGTTCTTATTTTTGATGCACAGAATCCAACTCTGTTCTCCGAGAGGCCTCTCCTTATTCAAACAGTAAAGGGCACAAGATTCATCTTTTCTGTCCCACACAGGATGAGGAGATTAGAGACTGGCAAAAAGACTGCCTGCTAGAACAACATCCACTTAAAAAGACACCAATAATGCCATAATGGCACTACTGTGGTGTTACTGCTGGAACTCTTAAAGAGAAAGGAAGACAGGTCTGATGAAGGGAAGGGTCTTAAGGGACTTTCCCCACAAATATGCCCTGTTCTGCTTTCACACATCATGTTGGCGAGATGTAAAAAAGGGATTTTAGAAGGAAAATGCATGAGGAAAAAGGAGTGTGTTATTACCAGTCCAGAAAAGCATGGACTTACCTTTCCAGTTTCTTGGCTAGGCTTTTTCTGGTTTTCGCTTCCACCAGACAGAGCTCTTTGTACTTTTCCACTTCCGCCTGGGTGGATTCTTTTTGAAGAGGTCTGTCTTGCTGGGTGTTTTTTATCCTGTCCAATTGACTTTCGAGATCTCTGCTTCTTTCTTCTGTTTTCTGCTGAATCACAATGATGGCTCCAAGGACTTGAGCTCTTTCATGCTCAAGAATCAAGATCAGTCAATCTGCTAGGCAGAAAAAATGGATGTGGTTCTTATTGTGAGTACATAAGAAACCAAGACACCAGCTATGCATCAGTTAACCAACAGGTAAGTGCAATGTGCTTGACATCCATTTAATAGAGTTTATGAGTTTACATTCCGACTGCAAGGAACATGTTTTCACATCTGAAGTGGGGGATGGGAAACCACAGACTCACTGTGAACACTGAATGATTTCCAGAGCCTCTCTATAGCATTTCATTCAAATCCGGTAACTTTTGATTAAAGAATCACGGTGCTCCTCCATTACTCTGGAAAGGGGATCCTGGTCTGTCGGGAGTGAGGACATTGCTGCATATGAAAGCTGGAGAAAACAAGAAGAAATGTGTGACCCTCCAGAGGATGAAACCCCTGTATGAAATTGTCAAGAAGTTCAGACCCAA